CCTCTCACAAATGCCCCACGGGCTCCCTGAGTCCTCAGCTAACCGACTTCTATTCTACCACCTGGAGAAGTGAGTTTACACTAAAGTGGGTACGGGCGGCCACAGAACCTGTTCCCCACCGCCCTCCTCTGCCTCATGCCCGGGAATCAGAGAGAGAGGTGACTTCAGGCTGGTGCTGTGGACTCTCTCCCATGCCCAAAAAGGTATAAGAAGAGATCCCCCACCTCTGTCAACTGGGTTCTGATGTCCTCCTCAACTGACTACACACACACACACACACACACACACACACACACACACACACACACACACCAATAAAGGCAAAAATGAAAAACAAAACAAAGACCAAAACTGTGTCTGTGTCTGGGAACAATGAGGACTTAAATTTGGACCCCCAGGACCAACATAAAAAGCCAAGGGCAGTACAGTGTGCTTATAACATCAGCACTGCTAAGGGGGCAGTGGAGACCGGAAGACCACACCCAGTACAGTCATATCAGTAAGCTCCAGGTTCAAGGACAGACCATGTCCCCCAAAATAAAACAGAAAGCAACTAATGAAGTCAGCAGATGTCTATCTCTGGTCTTTTTGCATGCATGCTTGTGTACACACACATGTACACAAGAAAAATGCAGTCTACACTAAGTCTTGTATATAGTCTCGATGATCAGAGTGTGTAGTACACAGTAGGTGATCAACAAATATTTGTTGAGAGCTGGCAATGGTGGCTCACGCCTTTAGTCCCAGCACTTGGGAGGCAAAGGCAGGTGGATCTCTGTGAGTTTGAAGCCAGCCTGGTCTACAGAGCTAGTTCCAGGATAACCAGAACTATTACACAGAGAAACCCTGTTTCTAAATAAATAAGTAAATAAATAAATAAATATTTGCAAAATACATATTTGTTGGGTAAACTCCACTGCCCTTATGCAAGTCCCTGACCTGACTCCAAAGACTCAAAGCTCATTCATGGTGTGTGTGTGTGTGTGTGTGTGTGTGTGGTGGGGTGGCTGGGCTGTAATTTAGAATGGGGCTGTCCACTAAAGTCCCGTTTTCAAAAGGATTGTCCTTAGATTGGTGTTAAAGGGAGGTGACAGAGCTGTTAAGAGATATGGTTTAGAGAAAGGTTTTATGTCACAGTCACATTCTCTGTCTGTGTCTAACTTCGATGCACTACATGTCTACCCCGTGCTGGGCTGTCTCACCACAGCCCCAAAGCAACAGAATCAACCAACCAATCCTGGATAGCCCCAAACCCACTGTCTTTACAAGTTGATCATCTCAAGTGTCTTCTTACCACGGCAGAAAGTTGACTTGCACATACCTGAATTAGTATCAGAGGCACAATGTAAATCTTCCAAATGTCTATACAGAGAATCACACAGACCTTTTAGAAATTATTAAGCATTGGTTCTGAGCTAATTCCTGGTAGCTCAGGATGTCACCAAGTCTCACCACCAGGAGTAAGGGCTCAAGAGATGCAGAGGCATGGAAGGAAGGTCACAGATCACAACATAGAACCACACCCCAAGTCCACCTCATAGAGACCATTACCTGAGCCTGTCCTCTGGTGACTTCCCCATTCTGAGTGTTCAGCTGACAAAGGTGTAGTCAGCAGCTGACAGAAACTCTGACCCTAGGTGTACACACTTAGAGTAGCAAGAAAGGCTACCCGAAAGCCTCGGGAGCACTCTCCAGTCCAAAACAGTGACTCATGCCAACCCTTCATCCATGGTGACTAAAGATGCGCCACCAACTGAGAAGAGCTGTCTAGTCTGCCTGTTGGGTTTGTACAGTAGCCATGAAGGGTGCTGTAGGTGGCTGTCGAGATGACTGATGATGACCCGAGTTCAATCCTTGGGTCCCATGTAAAAGTGGACTAAGAGAAATGACCCCACAAAGTTGTCCCCTAACCTCGACACATGTACCATGGCATGCACATGCCCCACCATAGTGTGTGTGTGTGTGTGTGTGTGTGTGTGTGTGTGTGATAATAATAAAAGAAGTCAGTGGGCTGACCTAGGCTGACCTATGAGGATTCTCTCATCACCATGTGGCCTGCATACTGAAATACATATGCTACAATCTCTGGCATTAATACAAAGCTATTTCTTTGATGGAGTCCCCTTGCATGTACATATATATGTAGATAGATAGATAGATATAGATATGTATATATATATATAATATGTGTGTGTCCTGTTGTGTATGCGTGCCAATGTGCATGTATGTAAACAAGCAGGCCAATATACATGTACTGTGTGTGTACATGTCCCTGAGAGCATGCTGGTGTGCATGTGTGTGCATGAACTGCAGTCAACAGATATCTATGGCCTACATACATACATATGTGTGTGTGAATAAGTATGCCAGTGTGCATTCATACATGTATATACAAGAATGCCAGTATGCATATGTATTGTGTACCTGAGCATATTGGCATGTGTGTGTGTGTGTGTACTATGTGTTTAGGTCTACACTGGGGCATGCCTGTATGTATGTATGTGTGTGCATAAGTTTGCTGGTGTGCACGTACATGCATGTGTACACGAGCCTGTCAGTGTACATGCCCTATTTACCAACATGTATCCACAAGCATGTTGATATGTGTGTGCCTATGTGTGGACGTGTGAACACAGACATGCCAGGGTGTTCCCCTATACACATAGGTGTACAACATCCCAGTGTGCATACCATGTTCTGGAATCAATGGAAACAGATCACACTCCTAGGACAGAGGCCACACAAACCTTCGCTGCCTTGCCCACTACCTCCGGGCCATTCCTCAGCTAATTGAGACCTATCCTTTCTGTCCTCTCAACAGTCTCTTGATGGTCTATGACATTGTATTGTTAGGCCTTGGATGAAATCAAGTGGCAAGACAGCCTAAATGTTTGGCTGTTGTATTAGGCATATGACTAGTTTGATGAAAACAGAGAGATCTACCACTGCAGTGGATAACTGGGATGCCCAATTTTCTGTAACATTCTAGAGTACTCCATTGGAAGGGGCATGCATGGATGGGGCTCTGACCTTTTGAGACACCCCTCCTGGTGCCACCAGGGTTGTGTGCCGTAGGGGCCCATAGCAAATGTGAGCTCTCTGTCTGGTCCTCCTGAACTTAACTGTGCCTTACACACTCACTGCAGGTATGAGTGCCTCATGGGGTCTGTAGACAGGCCTAGCAGCATTGTTGTCTACCTGGGCTTTGGGCATCTGAGGCACCGTTTCTCCTGGGACTCAGAGATTAGCCGTGGCCCGGTTAACAGTCCAACTGGAGATACTGAGGTTGACAATCAGGTTCCTGTCACTAGATAATTCCTATGGAAGCCCACTGGACACAGTGCTGCCCATCACTTCCCACAAGACCAGTGTCCATGGAGGTAAAATTGTGATCTGCATCCCCAGGTGGCGCTGTAAGATGTACCTGCACAGCCAGAAGTGGGTGTGGTGGCCTCTGGCTCCTCCCAGGGGAGTGCCTCCAAGGCATGGTGACCCTGTCTGCCCTTTATACATGGAGTGGGGTAAGAGGGTCTGGAGGCAGAACAGTGAGTAAGAGAGGAATGTGGGGACATCCTGTCCCCACTTCCCAGGCCTGCTTAGCAAACAAGCAAGCTGTCCCAGAGCTGCCTGCAGCCTCCCCATAGGCTACACTCTGTTCCATGAGCTGAGGCAAGCAAGGCCTGGAGACTCTGTCTGGTTGACTTGTCACCTAAGCCACCTGTTGCTTACTATTGCCTATGTTGGTGAGGAAGAACCAAGGTCCCCGGGGGCTCACACAGACACCACCCACACGCTGCATAAGGTCTTCACCCGAAAGGAGCAAAACGAATTGCCCACACTTTTCCAAAGAGGAAAACAAAGTGGTTAACTGAGTAGTCCAAGATCATATAGCTCAGGATTCTGTGGCAGAATCTGGACAGCAAAACTGGAATCCTACAGAGCAGCCCAGCATGGTCTACCTTCCCCACCTCTGTGTGCAACCCTAGAAAGCAACCCCCCCCCACCTCCAATAGTGTTATAACCGCCTTGGTGGTTACCGGTAAGCGGGCTGACCTTCCAGATGGCAGAGGCAAAGGCTGAGGTCAGGGTTCCTTCCAGTGGGTCTGGACCTGAGTCACTTGCTTTCTCTCTCCGGGCTAGGGGTCTCTGCCTCACTCTTGATTATGTAGTTTCAGATGGCAGCCACAGAGCTGTGATAGCTCCTCCCAATGTCACCTGTTGGCCTCACCCAGGGCCTCCTCCTGCCGGCCTCCTCCTGCCGGCCTCCACCTGATGCTTCCAGATTCTTGTAGCCTCGGTTCTGAAGTCAGGACACATTCCCACCTCCCACACTGCTGGAGAGATGGAGCTTGGCAACCTTCAGCCAGCTACCCCTCTGCCAGTGCCCTGCAGCCGGCTACCCACCCCAAGTCCCTATGTAGGCAAGAAAGTTGGTAGCATCCCACTACAGTGGTGTCTGCATGACCTGAGAAACTCAGGCGCCCAGCCCTGGTCTCAGCTCCTCTTAAGTTCTGAATGCCCTACAGTGTCTTAGGCACTTGCTCACCATGGTGCCCCAACCCAGGTTCTTCCTCTGATACATTCAGCCCACGTAATAACAATAGCAAACACTTCCTGGGTAGCTCCAGGCCAACACCAACCAGGGCTGCGGCGAGAACCCAGGAGAGCCCGGGTCCTTGCCAGTCTCTCCAACCCTGGTCAAGACAGTCTTCCCCAGTCTCCTCCTCCGCGTACCTCCCTCCCCTGTGCCCCTTCCCTTGCCGTAGTCTTCTCTGTCACCAGGGCCACACTTCCGCAGGCCACTGCTTCCATATCCAGAACTTAGAGAAAGTTTTAACTGCGGCGGCACAGATCGTCCTCCGCGGTACCTTGCAGCTACCCATAGACAGCCCAGGGTGCAGTAGCTGCGGCTGCTCCCCAACCACCCCCACCCCCCCCCGCCCCGCTTTGCTTTGCTGCAAGCAAGCCCGGCTTTGGGTCCCCGGGACGATGTCTCTCACCTTGAAGAAGCTGCGAAGAAAGTGCACCACACCGAGCATGGTGCCGCTGGTGCTCAACGGCCACCCGCTGCTCCTGACCACATTGCCGAGCCAAGCTCCAGACCCCACCCCGCGCCCCGCCCCATGGTCCGCCCTGGACCGCCGAGGCGGCGCCTCTGCAACCCGGCCACTCCGGGCACGTGCGAGTCCGCAGGGACTTGTCCAAACACTGGTCCTGCCTATCCGCAAGGCTCAGCAGGAACCACAGACACACAGACACACGCACACACAAACACACACACACACACCACGAGCAGTCATTGGACGTGGCGGGCAAAGTTCTTGAGCCCACTAGGAATATGAGCTTAATCTAAGTAAGAAATGGGCAAGTGAATCGCAGCTGTGCATCTGCCACACACAGGCTCGCGTCTCTGCCCTTTGGTCCCCTGTGCCTGTCTGGCACGCAGTGCTGTGAGTAACTAGTGCCTGGCCCAGGTCCTATTGGAAACGGCCGTCTGCCTTTCTCCCTGAACGCTTAGTCAAGCTTTGAGAGCGTTCAGGATGTTAGCACAGCATGTTAGCAGTTGAGGAAACAGGCTGCACAGCAGTCTGTACTCACACAGATTGTAGGGGGCAATTGTGAACTCAGATCCCTGCGAATTAAGTCTTGACTCAGAGCCCACTTTTGCTCCCCTCCCCTACCTTTTCAGGTAAGCGCTAACAGATAGATATGTGCCGGAAAGGCGTTGGGAATCCTGGATGATGGTGATGACGGCTGCTGAGACTGAAGCAGGTCCTATCTCTTCCAAGGCCACAGACGGTCTCTAGGGCAACATTTTTGATGAGTCATAGTTTTTAGCTTCTTCTGCGTGTTCATGCACAAGCGCACACACCACTGAAAGATGTTCAGGGTCTCCGCTATTGCTCCCTGCCATTCCCGCCTTGAGACGGGGGTCTCTCGATGAATCTGGAGCGGGATTATCAACCAGGATGACTGGCTATCAAGTCCTGTCTCTGCCAGCTTCCCTGATCCAGGAAGGAGTTAGGGCCAGATGTGGCCACACCCAGCTTTTTATGTGGGAACTGGGATCAAATTCAACTCCTCATGTTTGTACATCAAGTGCTCTTCAGGACCGGGCCATCTCCCTGGCCTCTAGTTCTAATTCCTTGGCACGAAAAGAAAAGGTTAAATGCACAGACAGTGAGGTCAACCTGAGTTATATTTGCCTTTATTTAAATGCAGCTGTAACACACTCAAACATTCACACACATGCACATGTAAAACATAATAGAATACTCTAGTTTTCTACAGGGAAACACAAAGCCAAGAGCTGTGTGCATTGTTCTGCACTGGATGGGGTCACGTATGGTTAGTAGGTTGTGAATGACACCCTCTCCCCCATGCTACTGAAACCATACATGGAAACCTGGTCCTGGGAGCAGGACCTCAACCAGCCACTTCAAGACTGAGGAGCGGGTAGACCCTGTGCTGGAAGCATTCCATGGATGGTGGGCGTCTGTCCACACTGGCTTTGGGTAACACTGCCTGCAGCCCTCACTCAAGTCCTAGCCCCACGGACCATTAGCACATCACCACTTCAATCAGCCTCGTTTAGAAATGCCCTCACAAACAAGTTTGTCTGCTAGGGGGTTATGGATCCCATTAAGTTGACAACAATCATTAACAATCACATCAAACAAATCAGATCGGCTCCCCTACCCCAAGCTTACGGGCATGTCTAGAAAGTATCTCCCCCTGGTTATTACCTTCAGAGACATCTCTGTGAATTTTCCTCAGCTCTCCAGGTCCAACCAGTGCCGTATCCACAGCAGGGCCCCAGGGACACTCTCAGCCTGCAGTCTTCCTCCTGGAGTCCTTCTTCCTTTTAAGACCCCATGCAGCTTCCCGAAGGCCTTCCACTGTGGGGCTCAGCCCTGCTCTGCTCCATTGCCTGGCACCTCCACTTCTTACCCCTACTAGTCATACAATCCCACTATGCTCTGTGTTCTTTTGACCCCCCCTTTTAAAAATTCACTGCCCATATGTCCGTGATATGTCTCCCACCTGTAACGGGAGTTCAGGCAGGCTGGCCTCTGACCAGGGAAGCTGAATGTCACCCCGTCCTTTCCATGCTGCCTGGAGTGCCTGTGAGGGATGGAGACAATTCTGTACTTTATATCCTAAGGAGACATCAAGGGCCAAGGAGCCCGGGATTTGCTGCAGAGGCGGTGGGGGACCAGAGTTCAGGAGCACAGCCTAAGTCCTCAGCTCCAGCCTCAACCTTCTCAGATTTTCTCAGCCAGAATTCTGGCTACAACGAATGCACCCGCTCTCCCACTTCCTGCCTGCTCTGAGTCAGCATCCCTCCCATGGATTTGTGATCAAGTCCATATTCTTCCTAACGTGTCTCTCTTGCCATGTCAATCAAGGGAAGTTTCTGGACATTGTATCCAAGACCCTCACTGGTGGCATAGGCTCATCTACCTGTGTGCCCAGGAAATCTGAACACGGGGAATACAGGGCATGAGCCTGCCTGTCTGTTTCCATCTTTTCTTGGCATCTGTTGTGATGTTTCTTGTTCAGCCACCACTACTTCCCTGTAGACTGTGTTTAGTTGTAGCACACAACAGATAATGATCTTGGAGTTGTATTCAAAGGGGGAGGGGCTCAGATAATGTAAAACCCTATTGCACAAACCTTTTATCAAAAACAAGCCTACCTTTTATTATTTTAAATGACAAAAATGAATGAAGTCCTCCTGAAATCCTGTTCCCCACAAGGAGGAATCAAACACAAGGCTACATCTGAGTTTTCTCTTGAGTGTTAGATGCCACCTTCTTCGGAACTGCTGAGAAGTAAGACTATAGCAAGGGTCCCGAGATACAGAAAGCACTTGGTCACTGGAGCCCTTTGGATGGCTATTCTCCTGCATAGGGTCTGCTTGCTCCTCAGCCATGATGGCTGGCTCAGATCCTGCTTCCAAGACCAGGTTTCCATGTGTGGCTTCAGTGGTGTGAGGGCAGAGAGTGTCACTCACAACTTGTTAATACACTAGCAGGTTATTAATATGCAATTTAACAGGCTTTACCAGACCAACTTACAAACTTTGGAAGGCATTGGAGGTTGAGTCCTGATAAGCTCTCCAGGTGATTATGTGGTCCAGGGCCAGTCCACTGGTCAGATGACAGCAGAACAAGTGGCCAGATGTGCATGCTTGCAATGAATCCCACCCTCTTCTGCGAAAGCTTAGCACTCAGCCTTCCAAGAAGCCAGAATTCATGGTCAGCACCTGGGAGGCTTAGTAGGTGCTGCATAGACACCTCCTCCAGATTGAAGCATTCAGTCCTACAAAGAACCTGGAGGCTGATGACTCTCATGAAACTCACCCAAGGCTCCTCCCAGAGTTTGGACTCAATTGCAAGCAACTGCTGGAGGAGAGGAGACTTTCATGTAAGTTCCTCAGGGAACTCTGTCCATGCATCACGGATTCATGAGTGTTCATCCATGAGGGGGTAGGCTTTTCAGAGATGTAGCTACCTGAATCACCCAAACCGCTGAAAGTAATCCCTCACCCACAGTCCTCTAAGTACGTCAATGTTCACCAAGGTGGACTTGCATGGAATCCTTTCTTTGGTCTCTGGTTTGATCTATTCTGGGGTGAATAGAAGCAAACTCCTCATAGAAAGTTGCAACAGCGAGTAAATTCCTCTCTAGGTAGTGTTCCTCTCCCAGGTGAAGAACACAGGTTCAGGGCTGGTGTCCAAGACCGAACACATACAGCCCACACAGTCAAGAGTCCAGTTCTGAATTCTGGCTCTTTCCTCCCACTGCCGTGTGACTGGGAACATGCTTCCAGCAAGTTGGATAGCGTGGAGGGTGACGGATGCAGAACGTCCATAGAATCTCCAGGTGCCTTCCTGAGGTGATCGATCCCACCGAGTACTAGGCATTTACCTCTCAGCCTGGCCTGGGCAGGCGTGGGACCTCGGATGTAGAGAAGCAGAGGTGGTTTGAACACAGGAAAAACACACAACACTCTACCCAGCACCGTGGCTATGTGCTGAGTTGGGGCCCTGGACTGACTGAAAAGGCCAAAGCATGAACGTTCATCTCTCTGTGTTCTCTGATGGTGGATGTGATGTGAACGGGAGCCTTCTGTTCCTTCTGCCATGCCTTCTCCACCATGGTGGATTGTATCCCCTAATAAGCTTTTCTTCCTTCAAATTTCTTTTGTCAGATACTTTGTTACAGCAATGGGAAAAGCAGCTGACAGACCCATCCTCAGGGAACTCTTGCAAGTGAATCATCAGACTGAAAGGTGGACAATAGATGAAGTGCATTGAGGTAAAAAGTCATCAGTAGGTGAAGGGGAGACGTGGTTTATACTGTTCAAGACGACCTTTCTGAGCTCTGGACACTAAGAAGCCACGGGGGTCCAGGTGTAGAGGCTCCTGACAGAGGCAGGACTACAGGAGAGCACGTGCAAATGCCCCGGTGGCCACAACAAACTTGGGGGTGGGGGTGGGGGGCAGGCAGAAAGGAACCCTGCCAGATGCACCTCGAGGAGCTCGGATGAAAGATGAAGATGGGACAGTGTGGTGGAATGTGGGGAAGGCAGAGGCAGAGACCCCTGGAGGTGGACAGGGAGGGCTTGGTTTATCACAGGGCCATGGGAAGCTGGTGGCCTGGGCGCACAAGAAGCAAACTTCTGAGACACATTAGTGGGCCTCAGGAGAGAGGGGTAGGGAGGGATGAGGGTGAGGTGCAAACAGGAGGCAATTCCAACAGGAAGTGCTGGCAAGTTGGACGTTAGGCTTTGGGAAGAGAAAGAGCTGGCTTGGGGCCTGACCAAGCAGAGTGACGTGGAGGTAGAAACACGAGAAGAAGCCCGGGAAAGGCAGTCATTGCATGCATGTGAGGGGCCTGCGTACGGTCCCGAGTCTGTGCCAAACCCTAGGGGACCAGAGTCAGCACAGGGGGTGCTAGGGTGAAGAAGGGGGTGGAGGCTGGGCCTTGGGGGGCTTGAGTCTTGGCCTGGCTGACACAAGGCTTGCAAATAGTCTTGTCCTCCTGCTCAACACAGCTGAGGTCCCTTGGCGTCGACT